TGACAGGGGAATCTACATTGATTTCATCAGAGTTTAGTGTTGGTTTCTGACTTGGGGCTGATTCATTGGTTTCAGTAAGGAATTGTAATCCCTGAAATTGTAGACTTCGACCATTAAGTTGGAGAGGATACAGATTTGTGATAAAGAAAATAAGGCTTGACTTGGCATACCTTCACTGATTTCTCCTCAAATTTCACGGCTGGTTCAATTGCAAGCTTTGCATCAATATCCTGCCAATGAACACAAATAACTAAATTAATAATGCACAGGGAGCAATTTATGAACATGTCTCTGTCCGCTCGGAGCAAGAATGTTCAACCTGAATAAATACTACTGTTTTACACAAGATGAAAAATGAGGACTTGATATGGAAACAGGATATGTTTGCAACATGATACAATTAGAACGGTTAGTAATTCTTGAAAATATAACATTATGACATGCTCACAATTTTAGCATGGAAAATAATCATGATGTACATGCTAAACTCAATAGGTTTAGTATACACAAACATTATGCATCCATTTTGTATTTGGGCATAGTAAGCACATCTGTTCCCAATATGCATAATATGATACCGGTATGGAATTGGGTCCCCAGCACCATTATTCCACAGAACATAATGCATAAATATAATAATATATACAAATTTCTAACCTGAAAAAGTTTAGCATTCCCTCCATCTTTAACTCCTTCAGCAAATTGACATAGATACCAAAGACCAGAATTAGCCACATCCTGCATGGAGGAGAACAATATTTATCATTTCTACACAACTTCATAGTTTAGAGAGCAAATATCTAATAACAGTATCAGAATTAACCTGTTGTTTTCAAGAAGCTCAATTTTTCCTTCCTGAAGAGTTCATTAACAAATGAAGCATCAGCTACGTTGCACGTAAGTACGATACCGGCATACCTGATGATTAACATGAGAAAAAAAATTCAACTTACCAATCCAGCAACCATTTTGTGAATCATTTCCACATTAAAACCAATTTCAGAAAGGTTTGATTTCATCTCATCAACCTGCATACAAGTAATGCTTCATGTAATTATGAGATTATCATAGTTTCACTCTTTTCTCATAAACAGAATAAGCAAACTAAAATTTTAAATCCATAACTGAGACATAAAAGCAACTAAAATCCTTAGCAAGTTGTTCTTTATTAGTAAATATTTTAATAAGTTTGTAACAGGGACAGAAAATCTTCGGAAAGTTTTATATCATTGCTTTAGAAAGATAATCATCTGTAAAAGCAAAGGGGAAGAGGTAATGGAATATAACTAAAAATAAATACAAGAAAAAAACATTTCAAAGATTGGAGGGGAAGGGACCGAGCTTAAAAAATTCCTCAAAATGCAGCTGGAAAATCTCAAAAGATTCTGGGAATAATGACATTTGACACTCCACTGTTTCCAATATCAACAGCCCCTTGAATAGCCGATAGTTCAAAACAAAAGTAGTGTTTTATTACATTATTTGCGATGAGCAGAGACGTTTCCTTCTGCTCCTCCACTTTCCAGTCCAAGCTTTCTAATCTCCTGGATAGATGACGCTTTGTTGTCTGCATGAATGAAGTAAAATCAAAATCAAATGCTAAAAACTGTACCAAAAGGAGAATGGCTTCAGAGACAGTTTAATTACATAAATGGAAGACCAATATCACTTACATTTAAAGTTTCAGATACATTGTCTAACTGTTTTGACACAGCTGCTACAGCATCCATCATATTTTGCTTTGTGACAAACATTACATCAGAAAATGACAAGCCCTGCATAAAAGGGATATAAATAATATATCACAGATTTAGGAGCGTTAAAAGTGCAATTTAAAAGCACATGGACAAGAAAGATATTTCATTTTTTGATTCATCAGTGAAATATTTTTACCTTCCACCACATATAACAATACCCTAATGCTCCAAGCGCTGCAGCTGGCACAAAATAAGAAGCAATGCCCCTGCATGCATCGAGGAAGGGGATAAATAGATTAGCAAGCAACCTACAGCTATATCACTGTTTTAACTTTAATGAGAACAACAGACTCAGCTTCTAACTCTTCACAGAACAGCATATTTATGACCCATAACCAACATAATCTAGAACATGACCAAGAATTTGACAGATTTAACAGTCAAAGTAAATCATTCAAATAAATAGATCGGGCCATACCTAAATTGAAAAGGTGCAAACTGGAAGCGGATATAGCTAATTTAAATTGTTTAGAAACATTCATAAGAATAGATGTACATACCTCCAGAGTCTGAATTCCCATTAAATACGGTTACCGGATTGGACATTGTCAAATCCTTGAGCTCTTGCGCCAGTTGTCTAATCTAAAAATACATAAACCCAAAACCATATACACATGGTTAAACACAAATTTACAGAGGATGATTAACACAGATAAAGAAACCCCAACCTCATCCCCCAACCCACCTAAGAAAAAGAAAAAAAAAACTGCAAAATTTCATCGGCATTTACACAAAACTGGTCCAACAAGTTCTACACCACGCTACCCGAACATAAGGAGAGTGTTGTAAATGGATGTGTTTCCAATACAAGTATATTCAATTTTTATATGTTTTTCCTGGAAGAATCAAACCCATACCCATGTTCGGATATTTGTCAATCACAGGTGCCGGACATGGGCACTTATGAAAAAGGGAGAGTCCGAATAACATAGGTTCTATATACATGATCAGCACTTTAAAAATAATCTTAAACGCCAAAACCTTGGGCACTTAGCAAACTAAAAAAGCTAGAATTTGATTGAAAATGCGAGAGACTGGGAGTACCTGAGCAGCAAGAAGCGTATGATCATACTTATAAGGTGAGAATTGGACATCATCGACGCCTTTCAGTAATTCCTGAAGCTGGGAAATGAGTTCAGATAAACGCCCACTCCTCAAAACAATTGAACCAGTTAAACCTAAACCCAAATTTTAAGAAAATCCGAAATTCAAAACTCAAGAGAAAAGGTAAAGAAAATCAAAGCAATAAAAGAAGAAAGATTAGATGATGGAGAACGTAAAACAACCTGCGCCCATAAGAATTAGAACTTTGAGGTCTGAACCCCAGCTTGCATCGCCATGTTCTTACTTATTTTCGGCTTCGTGGTTGAATCAAGGAGTGTGTAAAAGAAATGAGGGCGCGCAGCCTTCAGTTGAAATCAACCCTGTTTCTCTTTTTTTACTGCAATATTTTTTGCGGAAAACTAAAAAGGAATAGCAGTAGAGAAGATATGGAAGTGCAGGGTCGAAAGTACCCTTTATAAAAAATGACACGGGAGAAATTATTTGGGTAAAATATAGAAGTAGTGAATGAATTATATTAAAATGATTCTTTTAATTACAATTTTTTTAAAATTTATAAAACAGACTTTAAACTGTGATTTTATTATAAAATAGATATCATATTTTTAATTGTTAATTTTTAAAATGAAAGACGTGACCTATTAAATTAATGGATATTGAACAATATTTTATTGTCTCTTAATTATAATTATAGTTTTATTTTGATAAAATAATTCTTTAGCAGTTTACTCCTTATTTTTTTCTTTTTTATTTAGCAGGCGACGACATCAATTTTGGTACTAGTAATCGATTGTATGTATTTTTTTATATCACATCTTATTTTTTTATTTAGTTTGCTTTTTAATTTCCAATAATTCGTACATCTATGGCACACTTTCGTTTGTCTTTATGACACATTTTTCCTCTATCTTTTGATTTCTCGATCGTTTGGTCTTTTCTTTGTTTAATTTTCTTAGTGATGAATTTGACGACACATCGACTGATCAAGATGACACTTATTTGTTATACTAATTTCTTCTCTGCTTTGGCCATCAAATTATATTTGGATACACAATTTGTGTTTAGAGAAAAATTTCTTATGATGCTCGACTCTAATTTATGATTGTCAGTGACCTTTCAATAGTTTGATATTTTATAATGATTTGTTTGCCGATTCAGTCAAATATGTTCATATTTATCTTGTATTTGATTTTTTTTAGATGGATTTTAACATTTTCTTTATATGATCTTTATATGTTCTCAAATGACTAGTTTCTTGTGTTAAAGATTAGTTTCTTATGTTAATGATTATAATGATATGCCATTATATACTCATTGCAATGTTAGATATTATATATTTTTTTAATAAAACTAGCGGCTTATTTACATACAAAATTTATTTTAATATTTGTTTAATATTAATAATTCTAAAAAATAAAGATGTATAAAAATTTATAACTTATTTTTAATTATAATTTTTTTTAAATTATAATTATGAGAAAACTTTCAATAATTTTAATAAAACAATTCATATTTCAAATTACTTACATTCTCATCCTCCTAGTAACATGTAACAAAGTTTATTATGGTCACACAACTTTTGTTATAAATTACAAGGATGAGAGTGTAAGTAATGTGAAATATGGATCATTCTATTAAAATTTTTTAATTTATAAAATATCAAAATTATAATTTCTAAAAATAAACTATAAACTTTTATATATTCTTTAGTATATATATATATATATTAATTTTTTAAACTATTTCTTAGAAATATTATAAAAGCATGAAAAACAAAATATTAATTATAGTCCAGACTAAATGAAATAAAATTCATTAGTTTAATGTGACATACCATTTCCTTAACAATATCACTATAAGTTAATGGGTTTGATGCTTTTTTTTTGTTACAAATAAAGCTTAGTTATAAGATTTATTTAGGGACAATGCTATTGAAGAAAGTGGGTAATGGGGAAAAACAGTATCTTAAACCAAGGGATGTCCTCAAAATGGTTTTACTTAAGATGCAAACTCTCTGGTAAAAAAAACACATGAATGTTGTTGAATGTACAAAGATATGACCAAAGGTACATTTCAATTTGTATCGCTTTCTTCGATGGTTTTACTGTTACTTATGAAATATGAGAACAGAAAAACAAGCTTCTGCCATGATGACTGATTCATCGGCTTTAAAGGTGCGGGTGCAGGTGCAATCGAAACAAAGAGATGACATCCAATATCCACCGAAACAAGAATGTTTGACCAATCAAACCGTTCTAGGAAGGGGATGCAAAAAGTAAGGATGCATTTATTCCTCCAGAGCCAAAAGAATTAGACAATGCAGCCCTAATTGGCATTTCCTTGGAAGCAGTCAAAGGCATGAAAGCATCATTAAATATGGGATCGGGTTTAGAGAGATTTCGTGTCAAAGGTGCAATCCCCTGCAATAAGACACCACCACAATGTTCATTTAGTACAGTTCCAAACTTTCTTAAGTGAACCGAACATAATCTTCCGTACAGTTCATCGACTTTGAACCACTAATTGAATACATGCAAATATACTCGTAGACAGAGATAACAAATTGGTTCATACAAGTGAGAACACTACAACAAAAGTGTTCTGTAGCGGCGTTTTTAGCGGCGTTTGGAGAGTAAACGCCACAAGATATTGAAATATAGCGGCGTTTATAATCCAAACGACGCCAAATGATAATATAGCGGCGTTTCTTTAAAAAAACGCCGTAATAGAGTAATAATTTAGCGGCGTTTTTGGAACAAACGCCGGTATAGAGTTATTTATTGTGGCGTTTTATCAACAAACGCCGTAAAAGAGTAGTCATTTAGCGACATTTTTGTACAAACGCCGCTATTGAGTATTAATGGTGCGGTGTTTTTTGATAAACGCCGCAATATTATTGTATCTAGTGGCGTTTTATGTACAAACGCTGCAATATATTGGACATATAGTGGCGTTGTAACAAAAAAATGCCGTAATAGAGAATAAATTTTATGGCGTTTTAGGCCAAATGCCACAATATAGCGGAAAGTTAGCGGCGTTTATACCTCAAACGCCGCAATAATTAATACTTTCGCGTCATTTTTAGACAAACGCCACAATAGTATTAATTAATAGTGGCATTTTTTTATAAACGCCGCAAAAGTATATGATATAGTGGCGTTTTGCTTAAAAACGTCGCAAAATGTTAAATATATGGTCCTCTTTTTCTTCTACCTAAACCCTAAAATCATTTCAACTCTTCTTCCCTCAAACCTTATTCTCTGGTACAATAACAGGCTGAGCACGATTCCAAGCGTCGTCGTCTTTTGAATGTCCCGGCGACCAAATCAGCCATCTGATCGACGAACTATAACACAATTGCACAGTTTGATCCCTCTTAAATTAATGATATTTTTCATTTTTGTTTTTGTGGGTATTCTGAAAATAGGGAAAACCCAGAAAGCTAACGTATTGGAAAAAAAAGGAGCAGATGTTACCTTGAGTAAGAGAAATTATCGTAGGAATGTCTGCGTGACGTCTTTGCTCTGACGATGGATCAAATTATCGTTGGGAGTCTATCGGTCCGGTCTCGCCGTCGAAACTCGATGATGACCCGAAAGGAACTTCTATTGCTCCATACCCTTCCATGGCCGATCTCGTACTTGAAGGTAATAATCTATAGATCTTTAAGCCGCTATATGCTATTTTTCTATGGTCACTAAAATTTCATAGATCGTACGCATGTAGGATCTTCGAAGCTTATTGAGAACGATGATAGAGGAGTTGATAAATACCGATGTTTAGAACCGAATTTGGTAACTCTGTGGCGTTGAAAGAATCTTCAATTGCAAAAGCAGTATGTATCCTCAATGATGACGATGTTTCCTCTACTGTTACTCCAAGTAAACATTTTATATCATCTATTTAAATTTATTTTAATGTTTGATTCATTTCCCAAGCCACCTTCAATCAAGCTTCATAGTGTAGGTGGAAGTTCGTTATCTGTTTCAAGTGAAGCACTGAAGCGCGCAAAGAGTCTTCTTGGTGAACCGGAGGTAGGGGATTTATTTGGTGAAATGGATGAACAGTTCTCCATATAGAGTTTACAGGGAGGAAAAACTTAACGATGCGTCGTCAAACAAGGAAAACAACTTTCCTACGTCCTTCCCTCACGAAGAAGCAGAACTAAATATATTCTAGTGAACAGTATGATGCATACTGTTTATGCATAACTTTATTGTTTTAAATTTTAATGTATTTGTTGTTAAGTATATTTATGCATAACTTATGACTTAATTGAAATGTATGGATATTGGTAATTAGGTTAAACTACAAGATAGTAAATTTATGTTATGTACAACATAAATTAATATTTAAAGAATGTTAATCTTATATAAATCAATGAATTTAGCGTTTGTATCGAAAAACGCCGCTATAGGTTCGTCTATAGTGGCGTTTTTATAAAAAACGCCGTAAAAGGGTTAATCTATAGTGGCGTTTTTCAACAAACGCCGCAATAGGTTCAACCATACATTTAATTTAATGTTTATCAATTTTAATTTATTTTGCATAACTTGTGGGTTCATTAAAATGTATATTTGTGAATTAGATAAAGCTACATATATCAGTCAGTTTAGTTGATGTTGAGTAGAAATTAAATATGTAAATTCATTTTTATCTAAATAAGGTAATTAGACATATAGCGGCGTTTGTAATAAACGCCGCAAATGATTCGGACTTTAGTGGCTTTTTGATAGAAAATGCATCAAATGTTTTTTAATTAAATGTCATTAACTTTAGACATATAGCGGCGTTTTTAATAAATGCCGCAACAGATTAGTACTTTAGCGGCGTTTTGAGATTAAACGCCACTAACTTGAAACATATAGCGGCGTTTGCATTTCAAATGCAATAAAATTGTATAATTAGCGGCGTTTATACACAAACGCCGTAAAAGGGTTAATCTATAGTGGCGTTTTTTTTAACAAACGCCGCAATAGAGTAGTACTTTAGCGGCGTTTTGAGAAAAACGTAGTGATAGGTATAATCTATAGTGGCGTTTGTTTTTACAAACGCCGCAACATAATTGTAAGGCAACTTTAAAAAAACCAGTAAATAAGAAATATATTACAAAGGGTAAATCTAAAATCCTTATTTGTGTCTTGCGAGGAGCAACTGAAGCAGCAGGGAAAGAAGACATCGATTTTTTCTACGCTAAAGCTATCTCTCTCACTCCTTCCACAAACTTCCGGTTTCTTCCTTCCTCCCTTTATCCCCCATTTTTGATCTCCCTCTCCGAAAACTCTCTTCCCTCCATTTCGTCTTCAAAACATTCAAATCCACGATCTCGGATCGAGTATGTTTGATTCCGATTTCCCTTCCCATCTTTACTTTAGATCTTCATCGTTCATTCAATATGATTATTTTTTCAATTTCGATTGTATTACTTTTGGAAGTTGTTTGCATTTTTTAAAATATTTTGGTCGCGTTTTACAATTTTTAATGTTTTATCCTAGGGTTTTAAATCTTGGTTTATTTCTTTGCTCTTTAGGTTTGTGTAAAGCTGAATTAATTAGTTTTACAAGCTTTCATTTGACTCGAATTGAATTTATATTTTTTTGACTATCAAAGTCTTAATCGTCTACTATTTTGGAAAAGCTTTAGAATTCTGATTTATATATGTTACTGCCTTTGCTTTTGGATAGTTAATGTCTTTACCCTTATTTTGCATTTATGTGATTGTATCCTTCCATTTTTCTTTCATCGTGAAACTTTTAGTAGAGTATGCAGTCAATTCATTAGTTCTTTTTCTTATCATTCTATTTTGGAGGCAGACAAGTACTGCAAGTTGATTTGGGACATCTATCACAAGGACATGGAAGCTTGAAAGGTGTGTTATTCGCCTCTATTTCGCTAGCAGCAGGTCTCGCTTTCATATCCCAAAATGTCCAATCTTTGAGCTTAGATAAGTTTTCTGCAATCTTGAATTTATCTTAGGCAGTAGTTTTGTCTTTAACTAAGGTACACCAGCCATAGGTTTAAATATGTTCACAACAGGACACATCTTGAGATACTTAGTCAGAGGTTTGAGTGTTTTTCGTGTTTAATTAATGATTTTTTTCGGTTTTTTAACTAAAGATCAGGCCCTAGCTGCCGAAATGTGTGTCGATAACCTAGTATTGACCTGTCTGGGTTTGTGATGTTTCAAGTTGTTAGCCCTTTCTTAACGACTGACTAATAGTTGTTTGGTTTATTTTCTGGTTAAATTATGGACACTGCAAATGAAAACAAATGCGAGGTTTTAACCTGGTTGATTAAATCCTTCCTTTGATTGATTAAATCTTTTCACAATGCATCATGGTTTTTTATTGACATTTTGATTCTTCTAAATCTAACTTGGTAATTTGATAATAGTCTTTCAATTCCGTGCAATTGAACTGTCCATTTAACTTGTGTAGTCTATACTGCGATGGTTGCACGAGGAAGTTTGTGTATTTTAACCTGATTGCATTTTAACTTGAACTATCCATGCTTTATAATATAGACACACTCCATCTGCATTGTAGTTGGTATTTGTAGGAAATAATGTAAGGGTTTCATATGTAACTGCAGATTTCTCAAGATATTACAGAAAAAAAGGAAAATAGAGTTAAACATTATTTAGCCAGATCTCACACTTGAATTCAATTCTACACCCACTACAACTTTTCACCCATAATGAAACCAATTAATGCTGCTCAACAGTCTTAGGTTATGTTAGTTGCACTATAGCTAATATCAAAAGCATAAACAAAAGGAGTTGGGGAGTGAGAGAAGAAACATCTAAAAGGGGAAAAATGATATAAACTGTTTCGGAGTGGTCTAGGCCTTCTCTGTTTCATATTGAAGGTGATTAAGTTTTTTAATTTTTAGTTTATTTTTTAAAATACGTCAAAGGGGTTGCTAAATTTGGTGAGAGAAAAGTACAACTGATTGCAAAGAGCGAAAGCCGAGGAGAATTTGTAACACTTTTTTTGTAGCTCTCTCCAACTGTCACCTTTGATTATTACTTCCACCTTTCTCTAAGCTGACCTATGAAATTTCTCAATTCTTAAGTTTTTTTTAATTTCTTTTTTCCTTTCCTTTTCCTTATTTTCTCGTGATTTAAGATCACACTAAAATTGCATAGGAACACTGCCCTAATAAATCTAACCGACGCCATAATTATAAACTATTTTGAAAGTGAAAATGATTCAAATAAGGATTAAACTAACTATAGACCATATATATAAGGAATCATGTTCATTAGTTTAATGATTAACATGCAATTTCGTGATTCACACGAATTAAATTATAAGATTTTTGTTAAAAGAACTGGGATCTGGGATGCGAAAATTAGGTTCGGCTTTCTCCTATTCCAAGTTCTTTGCACAGAGCGTAAAGCCTTTCCCTTTTAGGTCAG